ACATAGTTGTGCTGGTAGCTTTAGCATGGCCTTGTTTGTGATCATTTGGGTAAATACCCAAAAGTGGGATTGCTGGGTCATAAGGGAGCTCTATGTGGAGTCTTTTGAGGAACCTCCATACTGCTTTCCAAAGTAGTTTACACACCCACTGACAATGCACTAGGGTTCCTTTTTGGTGAGGCTCCTATTTTAATGGCGGCAGAAATATTAGCCCACTTGCTAGTTTGTTTTCAGGTTCTTTCTTATTCACTTTCCTTGATTTTTCTCTTTTCTTTCACTTATTCATTTACAAAGGATGTTTTTATAGTTTATCTATCAGTCTTACATGTGTCTTAAAATAAGAAATTATTCAGGTTATCCAGTTTGCTATATTGCCAGAAAAATAACTCTTTTGCAAGTCAATATAGTAAAGTAATAATACCATTTTTCCTATTTTGTTAGTGATACACACAGCATGTGTATGTGTACACACACACACACAGACACACAAACCTAACCTAGGAGATGGAGGTTCCCTACATTTTCTATCATACATATTAGAAAGCCTAGATATAAACTTTCTACAAAATTTGATTAGTTAGTGTCTATAGGGATATATAGTCTTGGTTCAGCAATAATTGTCATTTCGATAATTACTCAGAATGTTTCATATAATACTTGGTTTTATCCTGAAGTTATAGCATAATGGTATAGCACTTTTCTAGCTAGCTTGATAACTTGGGTTCCATCTCAGCACCACAAAAGAGAAAAATCTGTACCTTAGTTTCTATTTAATGTCTTTACTATTATAGGATCATATTAATATATTTTTAACTTGAAAAAAATCCCCTTTTAGATGGCAGCTTTTAATTGTTGAATCAAAGCAATCATTTACATCCTTTTTGTTTGAATGTGCATTTTGTTTAGTGGTACTAGAGTTGATCATGGCTTTGCACTAGGCAAATGCTCTATGCTTTGATCTATGTCACCAGACCTGTGTTCTTTTTCATTGTATTAATAATGGCATACAAGGATTTGGTAACTGTCCACATGCTTCATAATAGACTATGAAATTAGAAATCCTGTTTCATAGTAATATAATTGAGTTAATGTGATAGGTTAGGTTAACTTGTAATCATTGCTCTTTCCCAGTGTTGGATCTTGGTTTGACACCAATAGTCTTTCTAAAATTGCTGAAGTTATTATAGCTAAAGAAAGAGAACAGAATGTTTTGCATATGCTACACTAGTTGTTGACTGTTTTCTTACTCTGTTTACTCTACCTCAAAGAAAAAGAATTCTAGAGACCATCACCCTTTGTTGTACAATCTTAAAAAATAAAGTCTCCCAGGGCTGGGAAAGTGGCTCAGTGGTAGAGTGCTTGCCTTGCATGTATGAGGCCCTGGGTTCAATTCCTCAGCACCACATAAGCAGAAAAAGTGGGAAGTGGTGCTGTGGCTCAAGTGGTAGAGCACTAGTCTTTAGCTAAAGAGCCGAGGGACAGCACTCAGGCCCAGAGTTCAGGCCCCAGGACCAACAAAATTAAATAAATAAAGAGTCTACCTAAGTTGAAATGATTTTCCTACCCTTTCCCTACTTCCAAAAGTCAGAGTGTTATGGCGACTAACTGAAGATGATGGCATTTTTTTTTTCTTTCCATTAAAATTGTTAGTATAAGCATTATGCCACCTTTGGTCCTCAGCTCCACCCAGACCTGAACTCCTCCCTGCCCTGGAGTTCCTGCCATACAGCTGGCCCCTCCCTCTCTCTACTCAGACCCACCTGAACTACCATCTACCTCACTTCCTAACCCCCACGCCATACTGTTACCTATAGTGGAGGCTGCCATGTGCTCTCTCTCCAGGGGAAATATGGCCCCTCTAATAAACCTTGTAATAATCTTTCTCTTGTGCCTGCCTGCCTCTGCAGGGTCCCCTGGCATGGATGTGATGGATACTTTCATTGATCCTTTCAGTTAATAGTTATCTCTTTTTCTGCTACTTCTTCCTTCAATTTATAAATGTGATATATCATTTGTAGTATAAAAGAATTTTAAGCCTGAAGATTTTAAGGACACAACCTTTACTGTCTCTGGGTTGATTAGCTTTCTAAATATACTAAGTCAACTTCAAAACATGGAAAAGACATCAATAGTAGTGTAGATCAACCAGAAGAAATGATTTGTGAGCTTGAAGATAGCCTATTGGAACATACACAGTTGGAGGAAAGCATTGTAGTAGTTTTATATGCAAGTTATGAAAATATTGATTTTCCTGAGAAATCATGTGACTAAATGGTCAGTAAGCAGAGAAATCAGAATTCTGAGTAATACCAAATTAAATTGCTTTCTTTAGGGTTTTCAAGCTTTATGGGGTACTATAACAACTTTGTTTTTAAGCTTATAGATCTGCACTTCATCCCAGTACAATTAAACCACACAACCTGCAGAGTAAGTCCTCAAATAAAAGAGAACAAAGGTAAAGAACAGCTTACCACTATCATTTGGGATAAAGTCCACTTGAAAGTGAGATTTAAGTGCACAGAGCTGATTAGTCACTTATGTCTCAAAAACCCACAGCTTAATTAGCAGGAAGCATTATAAAAGCTCTGGATTGCAGGCTCACAGTCATCTCACCTAGAAGAGAAGGCCTCAATGGATGCAGTCGTGGTCCTGGTGCTGGGTCTCTCCTTCCTGCTTCTCCTTTCACTCTGGAGACAGGGCTCTGGAAGAGGGAGGCTCCCTCCTGGCCCTGCTCCTCTCCCAATTATAGGAAATATCCTGCAGGTCGATGTTAAAAACATCAGCAAATCCTTGACAAATGTAAGTATGTTTTGGGCTCTTGCATTGGAATGAAAAGGGAAGTGTGTTGACCTTTGGTTTTAAAGAAAATACACGGCTGGATGCAGTATAAATGAAATAAAATGCTCCATTAAATTTGTATGTGTAGTTGCACTTCCCATAGTCATTTTCTCATTCTTGAAAATCACCAAATGAAGGGATGTATTTTGTGACTGAAGAGCCATTAGATCCCATTCAGAAGTGTAAAATACACGAAGTGAGAAAATTGTGATTCTTCCTTCCTTTTATGGCCATTTCTAAGATTGTTGCCTGAAGGTAAATGGAAAGGGAAATGATTATCATTACAGATCTTTCTTTGTCAGTGGATGGACTTTGGGGCATTGTCCCTGAGCTCTTCAGCTCAAGGTAAGTGCTCTATCACGTGAGCCACAGCACCACCTCTGTTTTTCTTGTGTTTAATCAGAGATAAGAGTCTCATGGACTTTCCTGCCTAGGCTGGCTTTGAACTGTGATCCTCAGATCTCAGCCTCCTGAGTAGTTAGGATTACAGGCGTTTGACACTGGCTTCTAGCAGAGATTTCTTTCATGTATTTTAGTCATCTTTTTTTTTTGTTACTTTGTTTTTGTAATGTAGTTAAAATAGATCTCTGAGGTTGTTTTAGGTGTGATGTCAAGAAAATAGCTATGGATGTGGAACAGCATAAGGAATAAAAGAAATGAGAAGCCAGTCAGGACCTGATTGACAATGCCAGAATTCACTGGATTCTGCATAAACCCTTTGTCTGTGGATAGTCATTCATTCTCTCTGGTAGAATTGTTCTTGCATGAGCTGTGACACAGCTTTGTGCTGTTTCTGTAGAGTCCTTTTGTATTTCTAACACTGGCAGTGTCAAACCTGTGGTGATTTACAAATACAGATTACCTTGTTTTTGACAGTACTGGGATTTGAATTTAGGGCTTTGGGTTTTCTGGTCAGTTGCTCTACTGCTTGAGCTGCACTTCAGGCATTTTCTGTTATTTTTGAGAAGTTTCCCTGCTGTCCAGGTCAATTTAGACCACTATCCTCTTATTTTAAGCTTTCCTGCTACAGCTAGAATGACAGGTATATGTTACTGTGTTTATTATTTACTGACAGTCCTGGGTCCTAAATTCAGGGCCCGGGCACTGTTCCTGAGCTCTCAATGCTAGTGCTCCCCCATTGGAGCCACATCTCTACTTCTAGCTTTTTGGTGGTTAATCGGAGATAAGACTCTCAGTGACTTTCCTGCCCTGGCTAGCTTTGAACTGTGATTCTCAGATCTCAGCCATACAGGTGTAAGCCACTTGCACCCGACTTATTTTATTTTTTTATGTTGAAATGGGATCTCTTGAACTTTTTACCTGGGCTGGCTTTGAGTTACATTATCTCAATCTTCACTTCCTGAGTAGGATTACAGGCACCAGTCACTGGTGACTAGCTAAATACAGGTTTCTAGTGTTCATCACAGGACCATTGAGTCAGCATCTATGTGTGAACGGTGGGATTTTTCTTTTCTTTTGTCAATCCTGGGGCTTGAACTCAGGGCCCGGGCACTGTCCCTGAGCTTCTTTTGCTCAAGGATAGTGCTCTACCATTTAAGCCATGGCACAACTTCTGGCCTTTTCTGTTTATGTGGTATTGAGGAATCAAACCCAGGGTTTCATGCCTGGTAAGCTAGCACTCTACCACTAAGCCACATTCCCAGCCTGAACTGTGGGATTCTTAAAAAAATAGTTTAAAATTCTCAGACAGTGATTTCCTTCTTTGTAAAAAAGACAACTATATCTATCAAATGTATTCATTGAGAATAAATTTATATCTCTTCCATTAAGCATGACACATTTCAGCCCTCCATAAGTGATAGTTGTAGCCATGACTATCACATTTATAGATAAATTTCAGAAACTCCAGACAGTACACAGTAGAATAAAGTATTCAAACATAATCATAATATTTATAAGAACTGATGATGGTATAAGGAGGAAATAGTGGCAAATTTTGCTAATTTTTGCATGTATTTTCCATTTTCCAGTTCTCAAAAGTCTATGGCCCTGTGTTCACTCTGTATTTGGGCATGAAGCCCACTGTGGTGTTGTATGGATATGAAGCAGTGAAGGAAGCTCTGATTGATCATGGGGAAGAGTTCTCTGGACGAGGAAGTGTCCCTGTGCCTGATAAAGTTAATAAAGGCCTTGGTAAGTGTGCACACATAAATGTGTTCACATGTATATCAGGCAGTGGTCATTGGGAAGAGGAAAATTAACCCAGCTCAAACTCCACCTCAGGCAGCTAGGCCATCTGTATGGCTGAGATGTGTCAGCTTCCTCCTCCTTGTGTGCGCTCTTCTTCCATGTTTCTGTTTCCTGCTTCTTTCAGGAGTTGTTTTCAGCAATGGAGAGTCATGGAAAGAGATGCGACGTTTCTCCTTTATGACCCTCAGGAATTTGGGGATGGGGAGGAGGACTATGGAGGACCGAGTTCAAGTAGAAGCTCACTGTCTTGTGGAAGAGTTGAGAAAAACCAATGGTGGGTGCTAATTCACGTTACTGATTTCAAATAAGATCCTTAGGAGCAATTCAAGGGTGGCTGAATCTTTCATTTTGGGCTTGTGTTTGTGAGTCCTGATGTGGAGGAGAGATGATTGAAAGGAGAGAGCCAGGGAGTTTGTACATCTGTGCCTTGTGTACAAGCACATCGAATGTGGGTGCAAAGTGGTTTTTAATGTCCTCCTGATACCAAGTTAGTTTCTTTTGTTTTCAAATAAGAAATATAGATATATGAATATGGATGTATCAAGCTTATTTCTGATGAGTAAGGACATATTGTTTTCTTTTCAGTATAAATGAGGATGATAGATAATTTACTCCAAATAAGCTAGTGAATATTTGAATATGATGGCCATGACTCCACCACACTCTTTTTTTTTCAGTGCTGGTCCTGGGGCTTGAACTTTGTGCCTAGCTGCTGTCCCTGAGTTTTGTTTCTCTCTCCCTCTCTCTCTCTCTCTCTTCTCTCTCTTCCTTTCTTTCCTTTCTTTTATTTCCTTCTTTCTTTCCTTTCTTTGCTTAAGACTAGTCTCCACTTCCAGTTTTTTGATGGTTAATTGGACATAAAAGTCTCAGGGAGGCTGGGCGCTGGTGGCTCATGCCTGTAATCCTAGCTACTGAGGAGGCTGAGATCTGAGGATCGAGGTTCAAAGCCAGCCCAGGCAAGGAAAGTCCGTGTGAGACTCTTATCTCCAATAAACCACCAGAAAACCAGAAGTGGCACTGTGGCTCAAGTGGTATAGCACTCACCTTGAGCTGAAGAGCTGAGGGACAGTGCCCAGGCCCAGAGTTCAAGCCCCATGACCACCAACAACAACAAAAAAAAGAGTCTCCGGGAATTTCCTTCTCCTGACTGGCTTCAAACTGCAATCCTCAGGTCTCAGACTCTTGAGTAGCTAGGATTACTACCACACTCTTACAGAGCAAGAACTACATCTTCATTTAATTAATTAGACTGTCTTTGTTTGACCCATTTATAGACATGTCTCAGAGTTTCTTTCTACCTTGTAAGTATAAATCTGACAGAGACCCTGGTATACACTATTTCTACTGCTTAGCCAGCCATGTATGTGTGTGTATGTGTGTGTGTGTGTGTGTGTGTGTGTGTGTGTGTGTTACCAAAGTAAGATACAAATGTATGTTTGGAAACTTTTTCTTACAAAATTTATGGGCCATTTGAATCCAGCTATGTCAGTATGGAGATCTTCACAAAAACAACACCTTTAACTAAATTCATGTAATTACTTGTAAAAAAGTAAATTTGGTACATGTAATCTGGTTTGAACAGACAGTACAATATCCTATAATTCACAAAGTTTAAATTTACCACATTCAATTTGGAATTTGATTGGGAAAGGTAGAAACTTCTACTTCCTAAGGAAGGAATTTTTTTTAAGATAGTAAAATGGAAACTTAAAAAAAATTATCAATTCTTTTTATTTGCTTTAGTTGGGATTTATATCTAAATAAAAACTTCTCATTTTACCTTTTAGATAAAGTCAACCATATATTTGTTTTTTCAATTGATTTATTCAACTATTTATTATAAATAAAAAAGTATCCAGCTCCTCACCATTTTTTCACTTTCTATTCAGTACTATATTTTCTATAGGATTTAAAGATAGATGTGATTTTACTTGGAATGATTAAATTATTGGAATTTTAAAAATCTTTTTCCTTCCCAAACCATAGATATCTGGGGATTAAGAGTGAGTAAATAAAGACTGCAGGTACATACTGAATATATTAAGTTCCAGTATTTGAGTAAATTATTATGACCAACATTGTGTGAGATAAAAGCAATGTGTTTGCAGGTATCTCTTTTATATAATTCACACTCTTTTAGGTCTATGCCCAAGAGTGCTGTGGTAGGGTCATAAGGCAGGTCTACATTTCATTTTTCCAGAACTTCCATACTAATTTCCATAGAGCTTGCACAAGCTTACATTCCCACTAACAGTGTGTGAGGGTTTCTTGTCTTCCCACATTTTCACTGCATTTGTTGTTGTTTGTTTTCTTGATGATATGGAAACTTACAGTAGTTTTGATTTACATTTCCTTTATGGAAAAAAATGTTGAATGTCTATATTTCTTAGCCATTTAAATACTTGTATTTCTTGAACAGGCTTGTTCTTTTCATCTGCCGATTTTTTAAAGTTGAATGAAGTTCTTTTGTTGTCTATTTTGTTGAGTTCTTTGTATCTTTTGGATGTTTATCCTTTATCTGTTGAAGAGCTGGTGACGATTTTCTCCCATTCTGTGGGTTAGTTGTCTCTTGATTCTGGTAACTGTCTCTTTTGATGTGCACAAACTTTAAAATCTGATCTTAATCCCATTTGTCTTGTTCTTATTTCCTGGACAAGTGGAGTCTTATTCAGAAAATAATTATCTCTTCCTATGTCTTTCAGAGTTTTCCCTATGTTTCCCTGTAGTAGTTTCAGATTTTCAGATCTTATATCAAGATTTTAATCCATGTGATGTTGATTATTCTACAGAATTTGAGATAGGGGTATAGTTAAGTCTTCTGCATATAGATAACCATAATACAACCCACCAAACACTAAAAAGGGGATGGGAAGGAGAGTTTTATGAAATATAAAAGAGGGTGTAAACTGGTTCAAAGCATTCCACACTTATCCGTGGCATTGCCTATAAATTACCATTGCCTATAAATTACCAATTACTATTGGAATTACCATAGTGAATTGCCACTATTGGAATTACTACTAATGGAATTACCACTATTGTATGCGTGTATGTTCTAACTTAAAAAAATATTTTGTAGGCTTACCGTTTGATCCTACTTTTATCCTGGGCTGTGCTCCCTGCAATGTGATCTGCTCCATTATTTTCCAGAATCGTTTTGATTATAAAGATCAGGATTTTCTCAACTTGATGGACAATTTAAATGAAAATGTCAAGATTCTGAGCTCCCCATGGATGCAGGTGAGGCCAAATCCTCTCTTTCTCAGAGTTTATTTCATTGTAAGTCCCAAGTTCTATAGGTAGGAAATGGTGAGCTGAATACTTGGACAACTCAGTGCTGAGAATTTGGGAAATATGTTAGAACTCTTCACTTTACATCCAGAAAAACAGGGACTCAACTATTGGGCTGGCTTTCAAACCTGTTAGCTCGCTGTTCATAAGTTTTCTCATAAAATCCCAATGTACTTTTTCTATAAATCATTATGGTCAATACTCAAAAGATACTCAGTCACTCAGTGGACATCCAGGTTCCTTTTTGAAAGCTTCCATAACCCAGAAGACTTGTTGTCCAATCACCATTTGTTTGTCTTTTCCTGGTACATGCTGGTAAGTAACTCTACCACTGAGCTATAGAGAGTTATTATATACCTACAATAAAATTACCCTTCAAGATAGTACCATATTTTATTCATATATTCCTAACCAAGGGTTGCTACATGATACATATATCTCTAATCATATTTTAAAAAATTAATGTAATATTTTCTCTTGCAGGTCTGCAATGTTTTCCCTATTCTCATTGATTATCTTCCAGGGAGTCATAACAAATTACATAAAAATTTCAATTTTTTAAAAAATTATTTTTTGGAAAAAGTAAAAGAACATAAAGAATCCCTGGATGTTAATTGTCCTCGAGATTTTATTGACTATTTCTTGGTCAAAATGGAGCAGGTAAGAATGTTAACATATGCACAATTATTTGATTGTTTGAGTGTTTTGTAGTTTTATGAATATTTTGATACTTACTGATGCTGAAATGGTTAGGTTAATAATGCTTCATGAGGACTCTGAGTGCCTATTCCATGCATGATTATGTTACTGAATTTCAGGTACATTCTATCCAGATCACAAATGATATGGTGAACAATTTTGATATTTTAAAATTTATTGAGCCTTTTGAATCACCTGTCTATCCTGGAGGAAGTTCTTTGGGCACTTAAGATTGTACAATCTGCCATTGTTAAGTAAAGTGTTTTCTATAAATGAGATGTTCTGTATATATGTTAGGAATATCAATGTCTATTGTTAAGAAAAAAATATATTTTCCCATCCAATGTTACTTTATGAGTATACTGTTTTTAGAATAATTTTAACTTGAGTTAGATTTCTAAGAGAAATTTCAACTTGATGACCTTGGAGAGTCACATGAAGTTGATACAACCAAGGCATCTTCTGTCTTTGTCTAGCGTGTACTAGTGTTAAGGTAATCTGACTTATTGTAATGATGTTGATTAGATAAGGTTAGTCACAGTGGATATGCCATCTGGAGATGATAAAATCACCATTAATGTAATACTGGTAATGATGTGGATAGATTGTTTCAAAGATAATTTTATGTATTTCCACATCCTGCACTTAATAATGTTTAATCTGCTTGTTACTTCCAATATGGATTGCAAAATTACTGTCTCATTCTATTTTGTGGTCCATTCTCTTTCTGTTATCCTTTCTATATTGTGCTGCTATATTAGTGTTTTTTTAACTTCATCTTAGCAATGTGTCTATAGGCAACACTGAGCCTATGTGAGGTTTTTGTTTGTTTTGAGTAAGAATATTGTAACAAAATTGGGCTGAAACCATTTATGTAATACAGTCTTCATTTACATATTTCTCTTAAAGATTGTGCTAGTTGGGGCTGGGAAGGTAGCTCAGTGGTAGAGCACTTGCCTTGCATGCCTGAGGCCCTGGGTTCGATTCCTCAGCACCACATAAGCAAAAAGAAAAAGACTGGAAGTGGCGCTGTGGCTCAAGTGGTAGAGCACTAGCCTTGAGCTCAAGAGCTGAGGGACAGCGCCCAGGCCCAGAGTTCAGGCCCTATGACCGGACCCAAAAAATAAAGGTTAAGAACCTTCTATTTTTATTCACCATACATAGGATTTTTGGTTTCATTTTTATGAAAATAGTATCTGCTCTATTTCTTCCTTCATAATTCTGTTTTGAATAAGAAGAGGTACTTGCATACAACATAATATATTTACTTATTGGTTTATAAGCTAATGCTAACATAATATATTTACTTATTGGTTTATAAGCTAATGCTAACTTCTACATAAGAGGGAAAATATTCAGTCTTTCCCTGTCTGGGCCTTACTTACTTCACTTAACATAATTTTTCCATGTCTTTCCATTCTTTGCAAATGGTACAGTATTATTCTTTCTAATGGACAAATAAAAATTCCATTATGTATACATTTTCTTGATTCATTCATCATTGAAATATATCTGGACTGATTCCATACCTTGGCTATGGTGAATAGTGCTGAAATGTGTTGGTGGCTTTACTGTATCCTGGTTTGTAACCTTTTAGACAAATGCCTAGGAGTGGAATTACTGGATATTAAGATTGATCTCTGTTTGGCTTTTTGAGTAATCTCCATACTACTTTCTGAAATGTTTGAACAAGTATACATGCCCAGCAGTGTATTTAGGATTCCCTTCTGGCCACATCCTCACCAGTATCTGTTATTGTTTGTTTTATTGATGCTGACCATTTTAATTGGGGTGAAGTGAAATCACAGTGTTGTTTTGATTTGCATTTCATTTATGGCCAGAGATATTGAACAAATCTTCATGTCTCTATTGTCCATTTTTACTTCTGAGAAGAGTTTCTTTAGCTAATTTACCCATTTATTAATTGGGTTGTATAAACTAAAAAATAAATGTACTAGGTGGTATGCAAGTATATACAAATATATTCACTGATAGGAAGAACTCAAATAGTGTAATTCCTTAGAAAGGCAAAGTCAAAGTTCAATGAAATGAACACCAGAGAATGGGTGTGTTAGAGGTGTGGGGTAGGGTCAGACATGGGGAGAAAGGCAGACAAATGAAGAGAAGGGGAGGATAATTCAGTCAGGAATTCAATATATAAAAGAGTTGACCTTGATCAAAATGCACTGTATTCATAAACTGCTCTGTATAAATGGCATTTTTTTGTTCAACTACTTAAAGATAATTTTTTTTAAAAAAGAAAAGAGGTAGTAATAGGCTTCAGTTTCTTTTCTATCTTAGAAAAGAGATTTTTCTTCCATAGCTCATCTAGCTTTAAAGAGTCACATGAATGAAATTTTAGGTAAGCAAGAAATAAAGGTCTAAGAAATGAAACAAACCATCTCATCTACAGTGTCTTCCATAGCATACAGTAGCTTCTCCCAATACTGTACGCTCTAAGATCTGTGCTAACCTTATAACACTGTGGGTTGTTTTGGCTTATTATTTGCCAGATCCTGATAAATAATCTGTAAGATAACTGCATCAAACTATTTTTAGGAAAAACACAACCCACAGTCAAAGTTTACTTATGAAAACTTGATAGTCACGGCATCTGATCTGTTTGGTGCTGGGACAGAGACAACCAGCACAACACTGAAATATGCTCTGCTGCTCCTGATGAAGTACCCGAATGTCACAGGTAGGACAACAGATGGAGAGTTAAGTGAAATCCAGAATGATGTTGGGAAAAATAAAAACCATAATGCCCTTTGTCTTATTTGTCTGAGGAAAGCTTCATTATTTAATCTTACATACCACATGTTTTAGTCTGTCCATATTTAAGGAGCAGATTGAAATAGTATATCTGTGCCTAAAACAGAAGAAGAATAATGAGGGAATTGGAGACAGCATAAAAGGGAAAAAGCAGTGAAACTATTGTACTGCAACTAGAATTTAATTGCTATGACAAATGCATCATTTTTCTCTTACTACCTCTTTCTCACTTGTATCTAATCAGTTAAAGTTCAAGAAGAGATTGATCATGTGATTGGTAGACACCGGAGCCCATGCATGCAGGACAGGAGCCTCATGCCCTACACAGATGCTGTGCTGCATGAGATCCAGAGATACATTGACCTTCTTCCTACCAGCCTGCCCCATTCAGTGACCTGTGACATTAAGTTCAGAAACTACCTCATTCCCAAGGTGAGCTTTCTCCTTCCATTCTGCACCTCAGTGGTCTTGTTTTCCCCAGATATATAGTCAGATTCAAATTTTCAATTTACACAAGTTGAGAGAAATGCAAAAGTTTTACTTATGGCAGCTCAATAGACTTGGTGTTGTTTTAAAAGTGGCCAGGAACCAAGAGAAAGGTTTAGCAGTTGTAAGTTAGGAAGCTAAATCTTCCCAGGCCCCAAATCTCAGCATATGTAACAATGAAAGAGGCCAATCAGTAGCAGTGTTTTAACAATATTTAACAATGTTAAGTTAAACAATGAACAATGTTTACTTTCCATCCAGTTGAGTTTTCTGCAATGATGTCCATTCCACCTTGTGAACTTTGGTCCCATCAGAAGAAAATTTGCCAGCACCATCTTCCAATTTTTTTTCTTTGTGTTTTCCTAGAAGTTTTGTTGCATTCACTCTTAAATTTATATTAATGACTATTTTCAGGTTAAATGTTACTTCTAGTATGGAGTATTAGGCTTCCTATTTTTCTTTATAATTTGCAATTGTTTGAATCACCTATTTTATATCTAAAGAAAATTTCATATCTTAGTTAAAAACACTCAACAGATGGTTTTTAAATGAAATTATAGACATAGAGTATAATAAATTTTGGCATGAAATTTCCCCCTCCTCTGTATTAAAATAATTAAATCTAGCCAGACTCAGGGGCTTACATCTTTAACCTGAACTATTTGGAGTAAGAAAACAGATCATGGCTCAAGGCCCATCTCTCTCTCTCTCTCTCTCTCTCTCTCTCTCACACACACACACACACACACACAAATATTGGTTGTGGTGAGGCATACCTGTCACCTCAACTATACTAGAAATAAGTCATAGGACTGCTGTGCAAGGCTGGCCCTGGAAAGCAAGACCTTCTCTAGAGAAAGCTCTGCCCATAGAGGAGTGACTTTCTTCATTGGGCAAACAGAGCCAGAAGCTGCCTCTCCCCACTTCAACCTAGGCAGCAGACCCAGCCCAGAAGGGGTAAAAGAAAAAATTGAGAATGTCTCCAGGCTAGATTCTGTGAGTGTCTTAGGAACTAGCCCCTCAGGGTAAAGCTACTGATCTCTGACAGGCCCTACCCACAATCTAGCCCCATACAGCAACTCCAAGCTAGAGGAAACAGCCATCTCCCTCTTTTGTTATGCTCAAAGGAGGGTCACAAAGTAAGGTAAGGCAAAGCTTCTTTCTGCTTGCTCAAACAAACTGATTTAAGAAACCAATGAAGCCACAGGAAAACCAAACACCACAAGCAAACCAGAGGCTCCACCAAGAGACTGGTTATGAACACAGGAGAGACACAAGATCCCACCCCCTCCAAAAAAAATCGAAGAACTCTTTTTTCTACCTAATTTAAAAAATTTTCAAAGAACTATTTTCTTTTTTTTTCCATCATTTTTATGTTACGTATGTGTGTGTGTGTGTTTAAACTCTTTTTACTCTTTTCTCTTTTGGTCTTTTTGGGTTATTTTTACATGACTTAATTGCTGTTCTGCTAATCCCCAAATATATACCCATTTTCGATTATTAGACTTTATCCTTCATTGTGTGCATACCTAATTTAGAAATTGATTAGTCAACTCACAAACTCTCAGCCTTAACTCTTTTAATAGTAATATTATTTCCTTATACTTACATAACTTTTCAGTGTTGCATTTTTAAATTTTTTATTTTTCCATTTTCCCATTTTTTCTTTATTTCTCTCCTCCTTTCCTTCAATCCTTCTCCTCTCTCAGTATTATTTCTCTATACTTATATAATTTTTAAGTGTTTCATTTTAAAATTTTAAATTTAAATTTTTTCATTTTCCTTGTTTCTTTATCTCGTCTCCTTTCCTTCTATCTGTTTCCTTTCTCCTTTTCCCTACTCACATTCCTCTAATCTTATTTTCTCCCCACAATTCTCCCTAAACCTATTAATTTCTGGTCTGCTTTCTTCTTTGACTTTTTAGTCCATTAATCCATAGTTGTTTTTTGTTGAACAAGATTGCATCTATTCAACTAGATTGTTTCTGTACTCATTTTGACTGCATCAAACAATCTGTACAACTACAGGGTTCTAGTTTTCATACCAAATGGGCAGAACAATCTGGAGAAACACAAGAAAAATGGCAAGTCCAGGTATCTCAACTCCCACTCATGATAATCAGGCAACAGAGCAGTTAGTGACTAATACAGGGGAGAATTCCCAAAATACTCTACAAATGTTACTGGTAAACATGCTGAATGAAAAGATTGAAAGCCTGCAAATGACTCTGTGTGAGCATGATAGAAAAACAGGTAAGCAGGATAGGGAAAAGAGTGAGTGTGATGAAGCTAACCAAAGATTAATACAGGAATCTTGTGAGCATGATCTTGTGAGTTAACCAAAGATTAATATGGGAAATGCATGCGTGGGATGAGAATAGACAAGATTAATAGAGGCATTCATAGAATCCACAAACAGACAGCTGAAGGAGTCCAGGGAGGCCACAAAGGGAATGCTGAATGGAGCCTACCAGAAGGAAAGGGAGTCCAATGAAAACAACCAATCAACTAAGTGATTGAGAATGAACATTGAAAACCAAATTAAGGAATTAAGGAAGTCCATATGTGATCTAAAACAAAGCTCCAACAAAGAATTTGAAGCCATCAAAGCTGACCAATTAGAAGGAAAGGAAATGAAAAAAAAAAGTAGAAAGTCTTGACAGTAGGTTAGACCATGCAGAAGATCGAATCTCTGGGATTGAAGATAGCCTAGATGTTATAGGGAAAGAACAGACAACTATTCAAGACAAATCTAAGAAATATGACAGATCTATTAAACATTTGGAAGATATCATCAGAAGGTCTAATCTGAGGATAATGGGCATAGAGGAGCACCTAGAGATAGAAGTTAATAATCTAGGAAATTTATTTAACAGGATCCTAGCAGAGAACTTCCGCAAAGAAATTAATTTACAGTTATGCCTTTGGTAAGATATCTGTCTCAATAATTTTGAGAGGCAGGCATATGTAATGTTATGAAGGCCATTATTAGTTATGCTAATTCTTCATGTGTTGAGGTTATGTCTGCCTGATATCTCTATTGCAGAGATGCAGTATACATAATTGTACATAATTAATACATAGTACATAATGAATAAAATTAATACAATAATAATATAATTAATAAAATGCTCTTGTACAGAATTAATAAAAGTATGTGATATAGTACTTCAATCCTGCTCACTAAATCACTCACTCATTTTACTTTTTCCTTGCCTGAACTGATGATCCTCTCCTGAATTATTTCAAAATTATGACATTTCTAATTTTATCATCCCTTTAGTTTTGTTCAAGTTATCTTAATTATAATAAATATTGACACCCACATTATATATTAAGAGAAAAAGTAGAAGGCAATGAAAAACATTCAGTGTTATATTGGTTTTAGGTCTTGCTATCATTCCAAAAGAATATGTTGTTAATGATTAGCAAATGATCATCTATAAAATGTTCTACGATCACATATCCCAGACATTTAGGTGCAAGTAAAGTCTTCCACTTGACTCCATATTGCAATATGAATGATGTGAAACTGAAGTGATGAATCAAACCAGCAGCTGCCAATAGACATCAGGGCTAGAGCTTTATGATAAGGAGAAGACATTCAGAAGTTGGGGCAAGAGATGCTTAGTATTTCAACTGTTATGGGAGGGCATTTCAGTAAAATGACTGCCACTGGCTTTAAACTCTTTTCTGTTTGTTACATGATCTGTCTGATAGAATATCTTGCAGTTTCTGTTTGGATGTTTTTTTCTTTAACACTCAAGCATTGAACTAGTTGATTTGCATGCATCTTTCAGCTCTATGACTATATAATAAGGCTTATCTGTTGTTTCCAGGGCACAGCCATAGTAACGTCACTGACATCTGTGCTGCATGACCAAAAGGAATTCCCCAACCCAGAGATGTTCGACCCTGGCCACTTTCTAGATGACAATGGCAACTTTAAGAAAAGTGACTACTTCATGCCTTTCTCATCAGGTACCTCAGGTGACAAGTATCAATAGTTATGGTTATAGTATAGGCAAGGAGTAAATATTTCTCTTTTTTATTTCTAGGAAAACGGATTTGTGTGGGAGAAGGCCTGGCTCGCATGGAGCTGTTTTTATTCCTAACCACTATTTTACAGAACTTTCAACTGACATCATTGGTTAACCCAAAGGCCCTTGATACCACCCCAGTTGCCAATGGATTTGCTTCTGTGCCACCTTCATACCAGATCTGTTTCACTCCTATATGAAGAGGAAGAGATGGTCTGGTTGCTGCTGTGATGGTTCACAATCTGCCTTTTCTCTTGGAAGTCACTCACCCATCATTCCTTTGACTGCATTCACCAAAAACACAGTCACTGAGAGTAGTCACATCCTTGTGCTGAGCTCAGTACTAGAACTACTTGATTCGAGTTCGGGAACATCTCACAGGCTGGGGCCCTCTCTATCATCCTACTCAAAATCCAAGTTCCTCATATTAAGTTATCAGACCCCCTAACACAGATATAGCTTTCTTCTTCCTGACATACAGAATCACAGCTCAGCATGGAGGTAGCACAAGTCATCAGTCCCTCATGATTAATAGCAGTACACAAGGTGACAAAGAGAAAGGTTGGAGAGTAGCATCTATCTCCTGTCATTGTATATCATCTCCCTAGGGCTGAACCACCTCTGGGACCATTTGCTTCTTCACATTCCCTTGGCTTCTTGTTTGAATCTGAGCTGCACAGGCCATATTTCAAGATATTAGTCTTAATCTCCTGGGGTCAAATTTTCTGGCACTTGTCTTAACTCCTGGTCTCACTTCTCCCTGATCTCTCAGTTCCAGTTCTGTTTATATCTCAGAAACCTCCCAGTATGCAAAGGAAAGTGGAATAAGGGGAATACAGGCTTGGTAGTGGCACCAACATGTAGTGAGCCCTAAAGAGTACTGTGAGGGCCCAGCTTTGAAGACACACTGTTGCCTTACCACAATTATTCATAGCAATGAGGTTGTCCCAATACTGGGTAAGCAAAAACAGAAGGAAATAAATCAGATGCGACTTACATGAGGTAGAAAATGTAAATTTAATTCTGTGTTACTTAGAAACTTAAATATCTAAGCCGGAAGTGGAGATGTGGCTCTAGTGGTAGAATGCTAGCCTTGAGCTGAAGAGCTCAGGGACAGTGCCCAGGCCCAGAGTTCAGGCCCCACAACTGAAGAAAAAAAGAAAAAAAAACAAAAAACTTAAATATCTGAGATGAAAACAGCTTAATTGTGGTGTGTGATCTGTTTAATATATGGTTGAAATCTTTCAAAATATTTTGGGGGTTTTTGCAATCTACATACATCAAGGACACTGGTATTTGTTTACTTGTTAACTAACCCTCATGTAATTTGAACTTTGGGTTGGTATATCACTCGTATAATGTGGACCACACTTGATTATTGGGGAGGCTGTGTGGATATGGGGATGGTCCACATAGGAACTCTATATTTCATATTTACTTTGGCTCTAAACCAGAAACTACCCTAAGATAAAATTTGATTAAAAATATACTAAAACTGATTACATTGCATTACATTAGGACTCTTAAGAGCTTAATGCTGAAATCTTACCAAGTGTTTGAACTGAGATGAGAATCATTCATGCAATTTTAAAGGAGAAGTGAACAAACTGAAGGTTCCAGTCAGAGTTCTAAGACAAAGTGTACTGTTACACTGATGACACTTAATTCACTGTACCCCCAAATCCTTGTTTCCTTTGAAAGACCCCAGACTCACTGGGATACTTTCTTCAACGGGAGGGCACCCCAAGAACCAAGACTCCAAGCCAGCAGCTGCAATAAGCAAGAGGAGTTTATTTGGCGTTTGCGCAAGCGGACCCCCTGTCCTGAGCAGACAGGGAGCCCCGAGCAGAGATTACAGGCTAATTTAAAGGCAAAAACCACAAGATTAACGCATAACACAAAGCATCCCAGGACTGGTCCATTTAAAGGTCACCATATACACCAACAATCACTTTGCCACCCAGGAAATTTTGTAACACTCTTTGTAAAATGACTGGTCCATGGTTGGCTTAAGGGGGGTTTACATGGTTACAGGCCTATGATTGGTTGACATTTGGCTTAGCTTGTGGTCTTGCCAGGTGGTCATTATCTCAAGGTCCTGTCTGGGGAATTTCTAAATGGGAACTGAGGAAAACGTACTGTCTGTTTTTTTATCTACGACCACTGACCTTGTCCTGGGGCCGGCATCTGGTCTCTGAAACTTCTTAACTCATTTCTGGGAAGGGAAGGGTCAATGCTAGCGTAAGCAAGTTTACAGAAGCAGAATCAGCAGTTAGCAAGTTAGTAATGGTAATGGTCAAATTTTAATCTTTCACCTTAAAAAACCAAAGTTTAGACTACTTGATCTCAGAGATCCCTTTGATCTTTAAGCTACATTTCTATTCTTCATTGTATAATAGGCAAAGATTCAAGCAGGAGCCTTACCTCAGCAAAAAAAAAACACCCAAAAACCAAAACCAAAAAACAGAACAGGGACTCCTATCTCTTCAGAAATGAAAGGAATCAACTCAATAGAATTCTACCATTAACAATAAGGTGATTTTACTTTAGTCAACCAAATTGTGTGTATTAGTATATACTTATATATTTGCCTAAAGCATAGCATATACAGGATGCAAACCTTTCAAACAATGAGCAGTCAGCCGAACAAAATGATTATCAGGAAGTTAAAAGGCAGCTAGCTTTCAAGGAAGTGGATAGTGGAAGGAGAGTAGCTGAATAAAAAATGGAAAGGGAAACCAATACAGCAGGAATTCTCAATGTACATGTGTAATACAGGCAGTGGGAAATTTGAAATGAGTCTGGGGGAAGGGAAAGAGGGAGGCAGGCAAACGAGGGAAGTGATGACTCAAGTTTGAAAAATTATAAAAACAGACTGTTCTGCTCTACATTTAAACCATATGGTGCTGTAATAATTAACCACCTGCATGTTTATTTTGGATGTTACAAAGTGTTGAACCAGAGCACTGTCCCTGAGCTCTTTAGCTTAAGGTTAGCATGCTGCCACTTTGAGCCACAGCATCACTTCTGGTTTTCTGGTGGTTAATTGGAAATAAGAGTCTTATGGATTTACCTGCAGAGGCTGGCTTTGAACCATAATCCTTACATTTTAGTCTCCTGATTAGCTAGGGTTACAGGCATGAGCCACTGGTGCCTGGCTTCTTTTGTTTTGTTTTGTTCTGATACTGGGGCTTGAACTCAGGAACAGCACCCAGGCCCTGAGTTCAAGCCCTAGGACTGCACCCCCCCCCAAAAAAAAAAAGCCTATCCTGTTAGGTGACATTGGCTCACACCTGCAATACAAGGTGCTCAGGAGGTTGAGATCTGATGGTCATGGTTTGAACCAGCCTACGCAGGTAAATCTGTGAGACTCTTATCTCCAATTAACTACCAGAAAAAGCCAGAAGTGGAGCTGTGATTCAAGTGGTAGAGTACTAGCCTTGAACAAAAAAAAACCCACAAACACAGCCCAGGCACTAGCACCCAGACCTTGAGTTCAAGCCCCAGAACTGGCACACCCACACACAAAAGACTACCTGCTAGGCTCCTGTGACTTGTGCTTGCAATCCTAGTGACTCAGGAGGCTGAGATCTGAAAATTCCAGTTCAAAGCTTGCCTGGGCAGGAAAATGTTATACTCTTATCTTGAATCAACCACCAAAAAGCCAGAAGTACAGTTGTGACTCCAGTGGTAGTGCACCAAGCTTGAGCAAAAAAGCTAAGGGACAACACCCCAGGCCTTGATTTCAAGTCCCAGCACACAAAAAAAAGACTGTCCTGCAGTTATGAATGGCGACAGATAGGGTGTACACAGCTGTCCAGCCCTGCTAGCCAGCAGTGCTGTAGCTTAGATATCCAGGAGCCTGGGGTGAGAAGAAGGGGGCTGGATTCAGGGTGGAGCACAGGTACCATGCATGGGAGCCTGCCTCCCTTGCTTCTCCATCCCAGGCCAGGCAGTGCAGGCCTTCACCTTCTGCAAAACGGAGCCCCAGGCCACACAGTAGAGCCTGCCTCACCTGCTCTGGGGCACACGGAGTGGCAGGAGGAAGGTGTGGGAGGCCAGGCCTGGCTTGCCTGTTCCCTGGGCCTGAACGTTTATGGATGGCAAAGCACATGAGCATTCTATTCTTGCCACCACACCTGTGAGCCATAAGAGGCTGGGCAGGTACTGTTCCCTCTATGCTATGCCAGGAGCCCGGCAGCAATGAGTGGGGACAGGAACGAAGAGCACCATGGTTTCTTCTTGTCCAAGGAATGCCTGTGGCTAGGACACAGGGACTCAGCTGAGTTTCAGTGGTCAGGTTGTGGTCCACATTTCCCCTCTATGAAGTTTCCTTCTGTTTTCTGTAACTTAAAATGAAGTTCACATTCCTTTTCTGTGGGATTAAGCTAAAAAGTAGTTGAATTCCTGAAACCATTTGGAAAGAGTCTTCTACAGTTTTGGTCATCGTGGCTGTGCTTGCCGGAGGGGCGGGCCTGGTGATGCTTGTTCACATCTCACACGTGTTCATGAACTTGACCATTCCACAGCGTGGACCACGCTCAGGCGTCAGGGGGCCTAATCATCGACAAGGAATCTGAGGTTTACAAGATGCTGCAGGAGAAGCAGGAGTTGAATGAGCCCCCGAAGCAGTCCACTTCGTTCCTGGTTCTGCAGGAAATCTTGGAGTCAGGTGAAAAAGGTAATCGTCCCTATCTGCAGCAGCCACGGGTTCTGAGTCAGGGTCAGGAGTGAAGGTTAGTCAGTGCCGAAGCCCGGAGTAGGTGGAAGAAGCATGCTGTGTTCTGAATGTGTGGCTGTTTTCTTTTCCACTTGAGACATAATCTTGCTAAGTTGGCCAGGCTGATCTGAAATAATTCACTATCCTTCTGTCTCAAATGTCTGAGGTTATAGGGATGCACATTTGGCATGGATTATTTGGGGGTGGGGTGGGGTGGGAGTGCCCGTTCTGTTGCTTGAACTTAAGGCATAGGCCGTGTGTGTGTGTGTGTGTTTAATTGGAGATAAAACTCACAGCCTCTTTTGCCTGGGCTGGCTTTGAACCACCATCTTTACATGTCAGCCTCCTGAGTAGCTAGAATTACAGCTATGAGCTGCTGGCACCCAGTTTGGCATGGACTTTTAAAAAAGCTGGAAGGTCATTTAAGAGAGAAAGCAAGGGAGGCTGGTGATATGGCTCACAGGTAGAGTGCTTGTCTAT